GGTTGCCCATGGGGTATTTAGTGAGCATTTAGGGTTTGGAGATCCAACGGGTGGCTGAGATGGTCAGTGGCCGTGGGTCAGGCACCCAGGGTCCGGATGAGGGGTGTTTTGGGTTCGTGTTCTGCAACGTTCACAGAGCTTAGGGTTTGGATGCACCCAGGGGACACAGAGGCTGAGATGTAGGATGTGGGGACGCACCACGGCGTGGATTTGGGTTCCCCATGGGCAGGGTTTGGGGTTCCTCCTATGGTTCAGATTGGTAGGGGGTGGTGGGGGGCAGGGGTTAGAGGGCAGTTTCGTCAGCACGCAGAGACTTTTACCTGGAGCTCATTGGCCTTGGAACTCTTGAGGGGTTCACCTGCGTCAAAAAGTGGGAAGGGGGGAGAGTCGAGGTTACGGAGGAACTCAGAGGGACACTGGTGGGGGGGCATGGAGGGGGATTTAGGCAGGATGGGCAGGGAAGCAGGGATTCCAGGGGGGTGCAATGGGCAGCAGTGGGTGCTTGTGGCATCTCTGGGGGGATGAAGCCATTCAACCCCTTCCTCACCAGAGCCGGCTGTGCTCTGTATCCGTCGTCTGCAGGCAGGCAGGAGGAAGAAGATGATGAGGCCGAAGGCCAGGGCAGTGGCGCAGCCCCCTGCCACTGCCACAACCAGGCTCCCACGGGATTCCGCAGTGTCACCTGTGCAGTCCGGGTGTTTGGGTGATGGCGTCCCCAGAAACCGCCTCGCTGGGGACGGGATGAGGTGACACCGCCACCCATGGGTGACACGAGGGACAAACACGCGTCGGACTCAGACCTACCTGGATGTGTAGGTGGGGATGTCACCTCAAGTGTCACGCCGTCCCCGAGGGGTGAGGACACAAAGGGGTGACCCCAGGGGCGGTAGGAGCAGCTGTAGGTGCCGGTGTCAGCTGGGGACACCCCAAAGAGGGTGAAGGTGGCCATTGCTCCCCCACTGGGGTCCTGGTGCTGGATGGGGGCTGAGCGCCCACCCTTGTGCAGGAGGAAGGAGGATCCGTAATCCCAGTTCCAGCACTGGATGGTGACGTTGGACCCCCTCCCCACGCGGATGCTGATGTTGATCGCTGCCATCACGCGTCCCTCGGAGCTCAGAGAAATGCCGGGTGGGGGGAAACTGCGATCTGCGTGCAGGGAGGGGAGGGAGAGGTGGGACACAGCCCTACGGGTACGGCCCAAAGCTCTCCGTTACCCCCACTGCCCTCACCTGTCAGCACCAGCTCCACGGGGTCGCTCTTTTCCGATGTCCCCAGTGGCTCAGACACGTGGTACTGGCACCGGTACGACCCTGCGTGCTCCCAGCTTGTGCTAACGAAGGAGAACTCGACCGCATCCTGCTCCTTGTCCTGGTACTTGTTCTGTGTCCTACCTCCATCCTGGTACAGCCAGACCCAGGCTTGCGCCGGGGGCAGGTGGCAGCGCAGGGTGACAGCGTCCCCCAGGGACACCCCGTGGCTGGGGTGCAGCGACAGGGAGGGTCGGGGCACTGGGACAGGGGACAGCAGTCAGCCTTGTCCCTGCACGCCCTCCTGGGCCCCTCTGATGGCCCCCTCCCCACGCTGCCCTCCCTCTCTCCCTATTCTCCCCCTGCCCCCATACTCACCATGCTGTGCTCCGCTCGCTGCCGCCAGCCACCAACCTGCAAGGGACACGGTCCTGGTGTCACACAGGGCCACCAACCCCCGTGGCACCACGTCCCCATCGTCACTCACCCAGGATGAGGGCCAGCGCCATGGGTGCCATGATTCAGGAGCAGCTTGGGGACGGCGAGGCTGCAGTGGGGAACAGGGAGTGGTGAGAGAAAGCAGCTCTCGGTTCCCCTTTTGGGACAGGATGCTGTGATGTCACCTCCTGACGTGCCAAATTCAGTCCCCAGGGAGTGGCAGCATCTTGAAGCTGATGGGGTGGCTCACAAACAGCGGCACAGAAGGTTTCCTTGCTGTGCCCCACACAAACAGTCGACCCTGGGATGTCACACAGGTTGTCCCCAAAGTTCCGCCACCGCTTGGCCTTGCTTGGTGTCGCCCTCGGGATGCCAAACACAGGACGTGTGGCTCCAGTGGGGTTTATCCCATGGGACGTCACCTGTGCTCTCCAACACGTCCAGCCAGCTGTCACCACATCTTTGGGTGCCACATTCTGTCCCCACTGTGCAGAGTTTGTGTGGTCAAAGCTCAGTGAGGGGTGAAGCTGCACGATGCTGACAACAGAGAGGGGTTCGAAATGGATGAGCAACAAAGGCAGGAGCAGCCAGAGCATCGCTTCAGGTCTGGATGAGAACGGACGCCTTCCAAACAAGGGGCAGAGACGAAGCAGAGACGATTGGTGCCTTCTCTGCTGCTTTCTCCAACGGCAGCCGTGGGCTCTGGGACCTCAGGTGCCCTGGGATGAACGACCGTGACTCGGTGCAGAGCTGGGGCTTCCCATGGGAACCCACGAAGGTGAAACTGGCACTGAAGATCCAAATGCAGCCAGAAAGTGGAATGAGAATCTCCCATTCCTGTCATTGCCGTGGAGGCGTTGGCGCTCTGGCTGTTACATCTCTGCTTAGCTGAGCGACGCGACGAGAAGAAATGGAAACAAGCCATAAATAAATGGAAATGAGCAGTGCCTGAACAGCTTGAGGAGAGGAAGGGGAAGAGAAGGAGGTGGGGTGCAGGGATGAGAAAGAGAGAGACGGGCAGAGGAAAGGATCAGGGATGGCAGCGTGGGTTCAGCCAATGGGGGGTGGGCGTCCTCGCTCTTCGCACCCCAAAGCTGCAAAGCCTGGCAGTGCTGCAGTCCCAGAGCTTCTCCCCAGCTTCCCTCTGTGCCCGCTGGGCTGATTGGTGCCACGGCAGGGCGCCTGCATCACAAGTGTTGGGGACAACGGGGGGGTGACGCTGCCTGCGTCCTCCCACACCGCGCTGCCCACAGCCATCCTGCCTCAGGGCTGTTCCTGAATGGGGCCTTCACCACAAACGAAACCAGAAATGCAGAGAAGTCAAAAAGGGGAAGAAAGAAATAATCACAGAATGGCCGGGGTTGGAAGGGACCTCAAGGATCACGAATCTCCAACCCCCTGCTGCATGCAGGGCCACCAACCTCCATGTTAATGCTAAACCAGGCTGCCCAGAGCCCCATCCAACCTGGCCTTGAACACCTCCAAGGACGGGGCATCCACAACCTCTCTGGGCAGCTGTTCCAGCACCTCACCGCTCTCTGGGTAAAGAATTTCCCCCTGATGTCCGACCTCAATCTCCCCTCCCTCAACTTAAAACCATTTCCCCTCGTCCTACACATATCAACCCTTTCCAAGAGTTGATTCCCCTCCCCTCTGCAGGCTCCCTTTAGGTGTTGAAAGGCTGCCATGAGGTCACCCCGCAGCCTTCTCTTCTCCAGGCTGATCAAGCCCAGCTCCCTCAGCCTGTCCTCATAGGGGAGCTGCTCCAGTCCCCTGATCATCTTCATGGCCCTCCTCTGGACCCTCTCCAGCAGCTCCCTGTCTTTTCTGTACTGCGGGCTCCACACTTGGACACAGTACTGCAGATGGGGCCTCACAAGAGCAGAGTAGAGGGGGGCGATCACCTCCCTGTCCCTGCTGGCCACCCCTCTTCTGCTGGACCCCAGGATTCCATTTGCCCTCTGAGCTGCAAGAGCACGCTGCTGGCTCATATTAAGCTTTTCATCCACCAGGACCCACAGGTCGTTCTCTGCAGGGCTGCTTTCAAGGACGGCTCCTTCCAACCTGTACGGATGCCTGCGATTCCTCCGGCCCAAGTGCCAAACTTTGCACTTTGCCGTGCTGAACCTCATCAGGTTCACCCTGCCCACCTTTTTGGCCTCTTGAGGTCCCTCTGCATGGCATCCCTTCCTTCAACCGTGTCGACCGCGCCGCTCAGCTTGGTGTCATCAACGAACTTGCTGAGGGTGCCCTCGATTCCTTCCTCTCCTTGTAGCAGCTCAGGAGAAGCCAAATTTCCATCCGTGACACCGCAGCCCCATGGGAAACCCCCAGGGAGGCTGCCCCACTCTTCCCCACCCCACACATCAACCCGGCGCCCCCCAAAACTGCGCTCCCCCAAAATCCCCCCTGCGGACGTCCCCATAATCTCGAGTTCTGTCCCCCATCCCAGGCTCCTTCCCTGAAGGTTCCCTCAGGAGCTGCTCCTCCATGTTCCTCCCTGTCCTCCCAAATAAAGACATTGCAGAAGGGAAGAGAGAAGAGATCGCACACGGCTCCACCCCATTCCTGCCCCAGATCTCACTGGGAAGCGTTTGGATGTGGTGTTGCTTTCCAAAAATACTCTGAGGTCTGCCTCAGAGCTGGGCTGAGATGGGTTTGCCTGGAGACGAAGCCACGGGGAACCAAGCAGGGTTTTGGATGGGGTTCGGGGCCCTCCAGCTTTTGTGCAAACCTTATTCTGGTTTTGGTGGCGCTCAGTGAGCGAAGCCAGCTGAAATGATAGAAACATTGCTCGCCTCTCCTGCCCGTGTCGAGTGAGGCCCTGGGATCGCTGGGCGGCCGACCCCAACCCAACACAAAGCCCAGGTATCGCCCTGGGGGAAAAAGGACCGGATTTCTGCTCAGAGAAGCTGTGGTTTCTATGCTGTGGATGTGGTCACAAGCTGGGCACTCACCCAGCAGCAACAGCAGCCCCAGAGCCGCTGGCTTTCAGGAAGACCCAGTGCCAGCGTGGGCGCACGGCAGGAGCTGGAAGAGTCCCACATTTGTTTAAAAACACACCTTTCATCCTGCAATGTCGATTCAGGCTGCTCTTTTCCCCCAGTTCCGGAGGTCCTTGGATCCGAACCGGTCGCTCCAGTGAGGTAGGAGCTGGTAGGAGGCGATGGCAGCAGGCCCACGTGGGCCGGGCTCCTGCTGGAGGTTGGATGGGCATGGGGAGAAGGGCATCCCCTCCATGTGTTCTTGTGGAGGTGGTGGAGGCTCTGCGTGTCCTCAAGAGCTTCACAGACCCCAGACCTTGTGAAATGATCCCAGCGTAGAGCCAGGTGATGGTTGGCAGCACGTGGGTCAGTGCAGACCTCACCCAACCAGGGCCCAGGGTGCGTTATCACCAGTTCAGATTCAACTTCCAATTCCTCACATCAGGGTTTCCTGCTGAGGGCTGAATTTTGATGCAAATCCATCCCACCTCTGGACATCTGTCGGCTTCCTTCTTCCCCATCCCTTCCTTCCTTCTGTCCCCACTACAAACCAGGATCAGCCCATGACACAACCAACACTGCTGGTGTTTCTTGGGCAAAACACTGAAACAAGAAGCCCCAAACCAAGCTTGCAGTGAGCAGAAAGCACCCAAAACAACACTCGCCATCGTGCCTCTCAGCAGGAGGAAAACCACTCTCACAATGCCTGAAATCCACGTTGCCATTTTCCCCATCCATGGATCACAAGTTACACGAGGCTGCCCCCGAAATGACAAATCCCAGGGCAATTTCTTGCTCTGTGACCAACCCGCTGCTGGCGGCATCCGGTGCCTGGAAGCCTGTGGTGCATCCCCAAAGACATCACACCTTGGGGACCACAACTGCCACATCAGGAGGTGACATCACAGC